GTAGAGCAAACGCGGGGGGAGCTCGGGGGTGGCTGTGACAACTCCGCTCGGGAAAGTATCCCGGCGCTTTACGTGTCTCCCAATTAATTTCAATTAAAGTATCCTCGAGAGTATCTCTCGACATCACACCGGAGTGTCAGCTGCCCCCCGCACCCTCCACCCTCCCCCTCTCCACCTTCCCCGCGTCAGACCGCGCGATACATTCCTCGCGCGATTACAATTCACGTACAACGACGTCAATTAATACGTGGCGTAATTCGCGTTTCTGGCAAGACGCGCGGCTCTTCCTCGCGTCCTTTCCTCGCGGACGTCGCAGTCAATTGCTCGTCTGCGTGCGTCATTAGATCTAATTCAGGAATGATAACGCGGGTTCAAAGACCTCGCCGTCTCTCTTCCTACCCCTTGCTCTCTTCTCCCTTGCTTCACCGATCTAAAACCGACAGCTCCTACTTGTCGTATCGAAATCTACGAAAAATCTTTCATAGTAACAGCGATATATCTTCGGAACTCCTTTATTCCCCGGAGGAAATTATTGAGGTTTCCTCTTTGGTTACCTTCAAAAATCTACTAGAGAGAAAAGAAAAACTTCAGGGCTGTGAGGAGCATGGGGTGACGTTCTGCTCTCTATTTTTGTATGGAGAACACGTTTGAAAAATATAAAAATGTAAATAGAAAAAAAAATAAGAAAATAAAATAGAATTACAAGCTTCGTCATTGGTTCTGGATAATGCTAAGAGCGGGTGATGCTAAGATCGATGATTATTTCGGGACTTCTAAATTTGTTAATCATATTATTACAATAATGTTTTCTTCTTTCTACAATATCGACATTTTTATGTATTCAACCTCTTATTTATAAATAGTAATACGAAATTTTTGAGAAAATTAATACTTTGTATAAATTTAAGATTTTCCAAAATCAAAAATGTCGACCAAAGATTCGCCAGTCCGCGCGAAAAATTCCTACAAATAGAAATTCGTAAAAAATGGACCCACGTTTTAATATTTCAGCCACCTTATTGATTTCACCATCATGACTTTTCAAAGCTGACTTTTCGAAGTTAACTTTTCAAAGTTTAAAAATTTCAAAGTTTAAAGTTTCGTCTATAGATTTGGATTCAGCGAAAAACCTCCAGATAAAATATTACCAAATATTTTTAATGTAAGGAATTATATATATTCTAAAGAGAGATATTTAAAGGGTTTTCGCGCCATGGCTTGGATAAATTTATCATTTATCTATCGCTCTGTCCATATAATCATGATCGTCTATCTCGCCAGTCGAACTTCGATCTTGCGGGATGACGAAGAGCTTCGTTTAATATAATTAACCGGTGTGCACACCGATTAGTCGACCTCGCGTAAACTGATAATGCAAATAACACCGAATCTCAGGGATTATTATTCTGTAAGCGGAGTTCCGATTCGATCGCGTGGAATCCGACTAAGTAATCAATCGACGAGTACAACTATTTCGAGGAGAGTGGCCGTTCTAATTATCCATCCTTCTCTCTCTCTTTCTTTCTCTCTCTCTCTCTCTCTCTCTCTCCCCTTCCTCACTGCATTCTCTCGTATGTTCGATTTTCGTTTTATAAATGAGAAGAACGATTTGGGACGAGAGCGTAAGGGCCGTAAAGCGCATGTGTCCACGTTATCACGTCACGGCGGATAAAGAATACCGGATTTAGCGACGCGTAGGAAGATGAATCCTCGTTTGATTCGTGAGTACGTGAGCGCCAAGCGCTGAATGATCGGAGACTCGAGCTTCGGGGCTTTGGCTTGAACCCCTCAGCCAAAGGGAAGAACCCCGAAATTTGGCGGACGTGCAATTTTGAATGCGTCGCGGATCAAGGAAATTCCACGAGGAATGCGGCATGTTAGAAAGATCTGACGTTTCGTATTTCCCGGCTGCGCATTCGACGCTAAATGCGATCATCCGATTCCGAGGCTGAAGCAACATTGTATCATGTGACCTTCGTGCGAGACAAAGGGCCATGCCTGGACCGCCCATTCAGCGTTAAGTGTGGCCGTCCGATTTTCAAGCTTTGTTTGTCCCGCATGAAGGACGCATGGCACGTTATTTCAGTCGGCGAATTAGTCATTTGTTTATGATTAACATCTAGCCGGAACACACGAACTGCAAACGAAGCTTAGGGAATCAGATGATCATATTTAACGTCGAACACATGGCATGCATGTCGTCCTGAGATTCTGGAAAATTTGTTAAAATTTAATGAGTACAAATTTGCTTTTTAAATGTTGTATCTCCGACAATATATTTATATAGAGACAGGATGCGCTCTCTCTCTTTCTCTCTCCCTCTATATATATATATATATATATATACATAATATATATATATATATATATATATATACATAATATATATATGTATATAACATATATATTCTTTATATATAATATATATATATATGTGTGTGTGTATATATATATATAAAGAAAAAGAGAAATCCATAATGAAGTATATCGTCGGTGTAAGGGAGGTCATTAAGAAGTCTCTTGGAAAATAACGGCTAGACGACCAATTCGAAGCGAGCGGCATGTTTTCGCGATTATTTATTCCGCCCAGAAGATAATCAATCGCAAACGCGTCTCGCCGTGTTTCTAATTACTCATCTCATTCCGAGTCTCTTTGGAGTTAACGAGTTTACGTGCGCAAACGCCAGACACACAGCTAATGTGCGCACGTAGTAAACCAGAAACTGAATTCTCGCTTGCGAGCTAAGTTTTCAAATCGGCTTGCTTCGATTATCCGAAGGGACGCCAGTTAACGAACGGTGTCCCCTCAAGACCGACGACGTTAGCGTAAATCCGGTTAATTGAAGTCTATTAAGTGCATTAGAATTCCGCCAAGATAAACACCGCGCGCGAAATTATCCGGCGAATCTGAATCCCGTTACGCATTTGCATTCCCGAAGCTTCGGAGATCCGTCCTCGAAGAGACGAGAAGAGAAGATGAGAGAGGAAGAGAAAGAGAGAGAGAGAGAGAGAGAGAGAGAGAGAGAGAGAGAGAGAGAGAGAGAGAGAGAGAGAGAGAGAGAGA